AGTCATTATGTTAACTGCTGGCCCCGACAATAATAAATTTTTGAAGAACTGGTACTAGTGTGCATCTAAACAATTTACGTACAAAGAAATGATCAAAATATGAGCCACGTTAAACTCAAGTTATTTCAAGTATAGATGATCCTAACTAATAACAATTGCACTTAATAATGTTTCAAGTTGCCAGAGGGTATATACATTCACCAGGACAAAGCGAGAGAGCGAGGAAAAGAGAAAATACCATGATCTTGAGTGACCACAAGGCAATCTTTTGCCTTCATTTCTCCAAACAGTTGGGACATAGGGCACACACAAACACCCACAGTATTTTTAAAGTACTAGGACTATGGTTCAACAAATGGTTGGTAAATCATGTGAACTCCTATTCTCTTAATCACTTGGCTATGCAGCCCAGTCCAATATTTTTTTCTTTTAATTTTATGAAGTATTTTGTGAAACTCTATGTCTTTGGTACAAACTGTACTTCAATATTTAAAATTTATACCCAAAAAAACATTGTTTTTTACATTCAGTAAGGCACTGAAAAATTACAGTAGGCTTTATGTTAGATTATTTTGTCCAACAGTAAGAAAATGTTTAAAATTCTAAGCACATTTAAGGTAGGCTAGGTTAAGCTATGTTTGGTAGGCTAGATTTAATTTGTTTTTTTTGTTACTTATCTATTTTAGAGAGATTTTTTAATTTTTTTTTATTTTATATATTCATTAATTTATTTTAATTTGACCAGAAAGAGACACACAAAGGGAGAAAGTGAGAAAGCAAGCCACGAGGTCCAGGACTTGAACCATGGTCAGCCAAGTGGGAGTGCCCAGTGCTGTAACAACCATGTCACCTCTGTTCCACTTTTAAGAGAGATTTTTGTGATAGGGTGCATGCCTTCACAAGAGAGACAAGAGACGGAAATACAGAAAGCAAGAAAGCATCCTCCGCAGGGACTGGCCAGGCCATAATCCCTTCTCTTTCATTCTCTTCATGGGATTTTGGGTATACACGTACATGTGCCCAGTGTGAGTTTTAAGCCTTCATGTGTCTCTGTGGTGACATAAAAACATCTCTCGGGGTGGGGTGGGGGGAGGGTGGGATTATGCTAGAATTTCATAAACATAATATAGTGGCCCCAGACAGTAGGGATTTTAGGTAACAGAAGAGAAACAGGGTAACTTTACAATGGTTTTTAAATCCAAATCATTTAGAGAGAAAAAGAAACTTTTGTTCTCATTATTTTCCTTCAAATATGTTTACAGAGAAAACATTCACAAAGTGACTAAGATTGATTTCTGTCTGAATCAGAGGTTAAGGTTATTTCTAAAAGTACAGTCATACCAATAACTAAAAGTTCTTGTAGCTGCTCCAGATTCTGTTTCTCCCATCCTTGCCCTCCTATACTCAGGAGGAAAAAAAAAACTGGCACTGAAAATAGTTGCCATTACCAGATGACAGGACAATAGTCCTCGAGGCCCTTAAGAGGGTCATAATAGAACAGGGTAATCAGGCAGCTTCTCCACAACTAAAGGAGAAGGCCCCAAGTGAACCAAGAACTGCACTTCTTGCCCAGGGACATTACCCTTTCAGTCCTCCCCATACTCAATCTGGATCTATTTATGGGCCAGGATTTAAGGTCTCCTTTAAGGTTAAGAATGCAGTTGAGAGGGATGGCATGTCCCAAGGGGCCTTGTGTGTCTCTTTCTGGTCAAATTAAAATAAATTAATGAATATATAAAAACTTGCCAGTTTTTCCCCCCTCAAGAAGTGTGACCCTCTGAAGTAGGTCCAGATGGTCAGCCCTTAATGGTTTATTCCCCTTTCTCTATGAGTAACCTGTAAACTGGAAAAACTAGAATCCCTCCTCTCAAAACCCACAGATTTAATTAATCTCTCTCAAGACTATTTTCTTCACCCATCAGCCTACCTGGGACGACTGCCAACAGCTCCTCTGGACTCTCCAATGAGCAAAGAGAGAATCCAAAGGAAGGCCATAAACTTGTCCTGGAGTCCAACGGCCAGCCCACTGCTGACCCTGTCACCAACAAGCAGGCTTTTCCACCTGGTCATACTACTTGGAATCTGGACAAAATCTCTGCATGCTCTCCAGGTGACACTTGCTGAGACCCGCCGCCTTGTCCACGGCCACTGCCCAGACCCTGCAGTTTATATCGTCCTCAGAGCCACCCCTGGACCCTGGGGCCCCAGTTTGGGTTAGACACCATATTCCTGACATCCCTGATCCACCCTGGGGATGGACCTTTCACTTATCCTGAACACCCCTTCTGCCATCAAGGTTGCAGGGAAGTGTCATTGGATTCATCACTCCCACTTGAAGCCCACTGCCCGGCCACCTAATGCTGGCTCCAGGACCCAAAGATGGGGACTTCAGACTTCCTCAGATCCCATCAAAGTCAAATTATGCTGCCTTTCCTGAGACTTCTCCTTATTCCATCTTCCCTCCACTCCCCCTATAACCTTCCCTCTTACACCTGGATCGTTTCTCTCGACCATGTCTTGACCACTAACTCCTGTTCCTCTGCTGTCAGTTGCAACGCCATTGGAGTTCAAACCCTTCATCACTGGGTCGACACCTGGGAGGGTAGCTGTTCTTATGGCCTTTACCTTTATATGTAGGGAAGGGAGCACAGCATTCTTTTTACCGTTCAGCAGCATCTTGTCCCTCATTCCCCAATCCTGTCAAGTCTCTGAGGCCCGTCCTCGTGGGCCTCAATTTTCTCATTAACTTTGTTCCAGACCAGATCTAATCTGTCAAGCTCATGGTTCTCCACTCTCACTGTTACTCGCTCCCCTTTCCTGAGTCAA